ATGATTGTAATTAGAAGCTTACAGCTGTAGTTATGGTCCTGGCCACACTCAATTCAAGTGCAAAAGGATATTACCCTTTTAAAAGAAGATGGCCTCCTACTTCTTTACAAGAACTCTTTCTATCAGGAGTTTCACTGAAAAAAAAACAACAACAATAACAACACAGAATTTAGAGCAATTCGTTGAACACATCAATTCAGGAACCTTATTTTCAGTTAAGCAGCTCCACCAAGGAAAGTTGGGCTGGACTGGTACAAGTTCCTTTGTTTTGGAAGTCCCACTGCGTAACTTGCATCCCAGCATAATTAATTCCGTACCATGGGACCAGATCGTGCAAAGGGTCTATTCAGAAAACAGTGTTCTGCAGCCTTTTGGGTGTGGCATGACATGGTTAGGGTGTGTTACACCAACAGTTGGGGTTAAATAAATCTTCCTATCTGCTACTTATACCTGAATCTGTAACTGCAATTTCCATTATTACTACCACAATAAAGAGAGTTTGATTGTTACAGGATATGTATGTCACACAGCTCAATCTCGCACCTCACCATTTTTTGTGCCTAGTACACAGGCTACCCACCTTTGCCCCTTTAATTCTTGTTACTATCTCAAAGAGGGCTGGCAAATGTTTTAAACACACATCATGTACTTTGCAGAGATATCTTCTTAATTTGATTTGTAAGGTTAAAAAGCATTTGTGTAGCTCTTTCCAAGCCCCACTTTTGAACGTTTGTAAGCATTGTGAAAGAGAAGCATTATTTTAATGTGCCTAACAATGTACTGCTTTATGACACATTGTACTGATTTCACAAAGTGACATTGTTCTATTGTGTAACACAGTGTTGTGCTGTGCAACTTACTGAGGTAGATGAGTCAGACTGCTAATTGCTGCTTCACTAAAGAAATTGACAGCACACACGACATAGGTACTTCCACAACCCTTCCACAGAGCACCATAACCCTGCAATGAAATAATCACATTAACAAAATTATGTCATCACTACAAATAGCACACTTAGTGTCCCAAGACAGCCATGTTTTCAAAGCTGGCATCTGTTCAGTATGGTCTAGAAGTCCCTTTCTGAATAGCATGTATGCGGATGTCAGAAGGAAATAGTATACGTCTGCAGTTTGAATGGCTATCAATGAAAAGTATGGTTGGCTGCAACAATGCTGTTTTATGGTTTGAATGTGTTCTGTTGGTTTCTCCTGTAAACAATGAACTGTCCCAGGATTCAGGTTAGTTCACTCAAATTTAAATTACTGGCATGCTCAAGCCTGGTTCTCACTCTGCAAGCTAATAACAATCTTTGCTGCCTGAGAACGGCTCCATTTTTTTAGTAACCTTCCTAACTGAATATCATTGCAAAATGATTGTAAAATTACTTTAAAATAAGGAAGATAAACTCCCTTGAAGCAGACAGCATGCATAAAAAACATTCTGCATTATGTCACAGTTTCAACTCTCGTGTCAGTTCTATCCTGATATGTTCCATTAGATTTTATTTCAACTGACCTGGTTTCGTCTCACACGGAGTAAAATCTGGAACACAGTGAATGGTGACAGGTGGTACTTCCTAGCACCATGATTTACCTGATGTACAAAAAAGTTATACAAAAAGTTATCAGAAATATTGTACAATTCAAAGATACTTGCAATTCCACAAAATTTCATATGAAGCTTGCAGATTGTGGTAAACCTTATGCACTCCTGGAAATATCAGTGCAAAATAAAACTACTGAAAGACACTTTTTTCTTTGGGCAAAGAAAAACTTGCTTGTGGATCTTTATCTAAAGTTTAAAGCTCACCCTCACTGATGATAAAATACTAACACAGTAAGTACCTGGCATTGTCTCCTGAAGACTGTGAATGGATGTGTCAGAAACTGTGCAGCTAGAATACTAAAAAACACAATATATATTCGATTAGTTGCTTTATAAATAACTAGAAAATTATTTGCAAATTTATAACAAGATAGGAAAGGACTTCTGAATCTAAAGAAGAGACAAGTTCATCAAATTAAAAGGCAAACAAAAAAGAAAACTCCATAATGTCAGTCCATCCATTTCACAAGCAAGCTACTGAACCTCTTGCCATGTTATGTCACATAACCCAAATAATAGTGTGATATATTTGCATGGATGCAACACAATGAAAATGCCAAACTTTCTGGATCTTAACCCTAACATGTAAACCATTAAAATTGCTTCTCTTTATATGAGATGATTTCTTACAGAAAGACTGTTATGATTATACATTATATGCAAATTATGTTCATACAAGCATCAAATTTATACAGGCAATAAAGAAGATTTTGTCACTGCCAATAAGGAAAATGTAATAAAGATAATAAAAGCAACTACATCATCATGGTTACCTTCCAGTTCCAATGGCAAAACCAACAAGTCTTTGTGTACTTTCTGTCAAGGAAAGAATTCAGAAAACTTAGTTATTACAGGTAGTTTTCACTCAAGAGTTGAACACAAACTGGAAAATTTCTTCTCTGCCAACAGTACAGCAAGGTTCTACTACAACCCTTTTATGTGCGTGTGTGTCTGTGTGTGTGTGTGGAAAGGNACTTCTTGACTCCCACATTTTCCCATCCTGTTCCTGTCCCCTGTAAATCAAGAGACTCAAACAAAACCCAATCATTTAACTGTGCAATTCTTAGGCATTTCCTTTTTTTAATAATCTGTATTCAGTCTGGCTTGTCTTGCTCACCTCCTTTGACAGCTCACATGACACACATGCACTTATGCTGCCTGGCATTTCGTGATCTTTGACATAACCACTGTAAAAGGGTTTACAATTTTGCAGGAAGTTAACCTGTTTCTTAGCTGAAATGCGAACTTTTGTTTGTTTTTTGGTCAGAAGTCTCAGAAGATGCTAAATGCAAGTCAAATAATATTTGGGTTTTTATGTTGAAAGTAATTCTAACATATACATAAATGACAATAATTAGCATTTTGCATTTCTCTCCTGCTTCCCACCTTCTCAGAACTCCCGCTTCCCATCATCTTAGAACTCCCGCTTAAACTCTTTAACCTCCTACCTCTCAAACCCCCTTACCTTGCAAATGGATACCTTGTGTGTTGTTGTTTATGACAAAATGCAAACTGATTTTGTTTTAGATTTGGCAGTGTGATATAACCGGTGGAAAAAAACAGCTTTAATATGTTGTCTAAAGTGTTCTAAGGCTCTGTTTTATGTGACTCCTAATTGATCATTCCTTGATTAACCAAATACCAGCATTTAGTAAATAAACTAAATAGCAAGCCCGTTATGTGATATACGCGGGCAACAGGCGTCTTCTAATGTTTTGTTATATTTTAATTTTGATAATTTGACCTTGATTTTCAACATTTTGGATACATACATATAAA